CTAAACCATTTTCCTTAGCAAGGAAAGTGAGGTTCACTATAGTTTTTGACCTGCTAGACCTAAATTTGTTTTAACTCTCTTTTGAGTAACAGGTTGCCTCCAAAAACATCTACTTAAAAGTTTTGACCTCTGTCCCTGAAAAAATACGTAAGCACAAAATTTTGCATATAATCTAAAGAGTTTTAAAGATTTCCTGACTACATTTTAAGAAATGCTGTTACATTGAGGGAATTCTGATCCATTGTTTTAGGTGTGATGCTGGTAGTATAGTTAAGTTTAATCAGAGATATATATAGAAATACTCATAGATAATATACTATAATGTTCAGAATTAGCTTCAAAATAATGGTGGAAATACAAGATTGGCCATGAGTTAGTAATTATTTAGTAATCCAGTTATAGAAACTTAGGAATTCGCTGTACTATTCTGTCCCTACATTTGTAGGTTTAAAATTTTCCAGAATAAAAAGTATTAAACGTGTAGTATGTATGCTGTGTATGTATAGCTATATATAGCCACAAAAAGTCTTCCAAGGAAATTATATCACTAAAATAATTGGTTTCGATGTAACTCAATCACCACAGTTCTGGCTTTGGGGTGGTCCCTGGTACACACAGGGCTATCCACGTGGCCTCATCCTGTCTTCCATGCATACCGTGGATAAACCCCTTCCTTAAAAGCATATAACCTGTGTTTCCTGAAATGAGCCCACTGGAGTAGTGAATAAAATTCACTGACTAAACATTACAACTGAACTAGAGAGTCTATCAAAAAAGAAGTGTGAAAAGAGGTTAGATTAAGGACCCACAACATTGTTCTTGAAAAACAAGAAATTTATGTTCATTATATTTACCCTGCACCCTGACAATGTTTTAGCCATGTACAATGCTGAATAAATCATGAACATTAAAAAAAATTATCATACATAAAATAAGAATTTTATCTAAACAGATAACAGTAGAGCTCACTCTACAGACCTTAGCTCCAAACATCAGATTAGACAATATTCCAGACTATCCAGAAGGGTTTACAAGGCAAAAATGGTAGAAATTTAAAGATAATACAGATATGTTTTTGGTTTTGGTCACGTAAATCAGTTAAGTGTTCATTAAAATGTCAATATACTGAATACAAGCATAAATAATTCACTTCCATTTCAACTTCAGTTATAATACTGATAAGCATAATACTTTATGTTACTGCTTCAAACCATCCAATCAATGCATATAGCTATTAAATTAAGAAATTTCTCTGTAATCCCTAGTAAATAACATTTGCAACATTCATAAAGAAATGGTACAACAATCTGGAATCCACCATATACAAGAAAACAACTTACTTCCACCTTGTACTAAATGCCTTGTAGGATGTTCTCACTGGCAAGGCCAGGGGCTTCCCTTCTGCAAAAACCTGACAAGTAACATAAAGGTCAGAGCATGTCTCTTGATAGAGCCCTGAAAACTTCAACATTGGGTCTTCTAGGACGGCTTTGTAACTCTTCTGTTCTCTCTTGCCTTCCAAGCTTCCTCTGCAAGCACAAGAACGACAATCTCTTAGACATGCATTTTTAAAGCATATACACACATGTACAAGTAATAGAAAGAGTTTATGTTTATGTCAAGGCAATCTTATACTACCTGAACGTTTTCCTGTATATGAAACTAAAGTCACTTTTACAAGTAATACTGATCTCTTAATGTCCTAATATCTAAGCTCATTCCTATCTTTATCAACATATTTCTCTATTTCAGGCCATAGAATTTTAAACTCTGCCCCCAACTCTTGATCTACGATTTAGAAGATACCAACTTAC